TAACACCTAATCTGTTTCTATTTTTCTTCAAATAATTTAGGATAACCTGAAATTATAGGACACATTTATAGTGTTTATAATGCAACAGACTAATTCTATACTAAGATGAGGAATCAGACTCAACCAAATACTGTAAAAAAACAAGGGAGAAACCAACAGCATTCTTAAACGAACTAGAGCAAATAGTTCTAAAGTTCATATGGAACCACAAAAGACACTGAATAGCCAAAGCAATCCTGTGAAAGAGTAAAGCTGGGGGAATTACACTCTCTGACTTTAAGCTCTACTACAAAGCCACAGTAATCAAGATAATTTGGTACGGGCACAAGAACAGACCCATAGACCAATGGAACCGACTAGAGAGCCCAGATATAAACCCAAGCATATATGGTCAATTAATATATGATAAAGGATATACAATGGGGGAAATAACAGCTTTTTTAAGAACTGGTGTTGGCAAAACTGGACAGCTACATGCAACAGAATGAAACTGGATTATTGTGTAACTCCATAAACAGAAGTAAACTCAAAATGGAGCACAGACCCAAATATAAGTCATAAAACCATAAACCTCTTAGAAGAAAACATAGGGAAAAATCTCTTGAATATAAACATGAGCAACTTTTTCCTGAATGCATCTCCTTGGGCAAGGGAAATAAAATAAAAAATGAACAAATGGGATGACATCATGCTAAAAAGCTTCTGTACAGCCAAGGACACCATCAGCAGAACAAAAAGGCATCCTACAGTATGGGAGAATATATTTGTAAACAACATATCCAATAAGGGGTTAATATCCATAATATATAAAGAACTCACATGCCTCAACATCCAAAAAGCAAATAACCCTATTAAAAAAATGGGTGAATGATATAAACAGACATTTCTCCAAAGAAGAAATTCTGATGGCCAACAGGCACATGAAAAGATGCTCCACATCGCTAATTATCAGGGAAGTGCAAATTAAAACCACAATGAGGTATCACCTCACACCAGTTAGGATGGCTAACATAGAAAAACTAGAACAAATGCTGGCGAGGATGTGAAGAAAGGGGAAGCCTCCTACACTGCTGGTGGGAATGTAAACTAGTTCAACCATTGTGGAAAGCAATATGGAGGTTCCTCAAAAAAATAAAAATAGAAATAGAAATACTATTTGACCCAGGAATTCCACTTCTAGGAATTTACCCTAAGAATGCAGGATCCCAGTTTCAAAAAGACATATGCACCCCTATGTTTATTGCAGCAGTATTTACAATAGCCAAGAAATGGAAGCAACCTATGTGTCCATCAGTAGATAAATGGATACAGAAGATACGGTACATATACACAATGGAATATTATTCAGCCATAAGAAGAAAACAAATCCTAGCATTTGCAGCAACAAGGCTGGAGCTAGAGGGTATTATGCTCAGTGAAATATGCCAGGTGGAGAAAGACAAGTACCAAATGATTTCACTCATTTGTGGAGTATAACAACAAAGCAAAAACTGAAGGAACAAAACAGCAGCAGAATCACAGAACCCAAGAATGGACTAACAGTTGCCAAAGGGAAAGGGATTGGGAAGGGTGGGTGGGAAGGGATGGAGAAGGGAAATAAGGGGCATTACGATTAGCACACATAACATAGGGGCGGGGATGGGGAAGGCAGTATAGCACAGAGTAGACAAGTAGTGACTCTATAGCATCTTAATATGCTGATGGACAGCGACTGTAATAGGGTATATGGTGGGGACTTGATAATGGGGGGAATCTAGTAAACATGATGTTGTTCATGTGACTATATATTAATGATACCAAAATAAAAAAAAGGGAGTAAAGGAAGACATAAATGGAATATTATTCAGTCACAAAAAATGTATGAAGTACTGATAACATGCTACAAACTGAACCCTGAAAATATTTTGCTAAGTGAAACACAAAAAGCCATATATAGCATAATTCTACTTACTCTATGTCCAGAAAGAAATTACAGAAATGTCAAGAAGAATCATATCCACAGAAAGCAGATTAGGGCTGCGAGGGGCTAGTGGGAGGGGAACATGGAGTGACTGCTAATGGGTGTGTGTTTCTTTCTGTAGTGATGAAAATGTTCTGTAATCAGATAGTGGTGATGGTCTCACGACTTTGTGAACATACTAAAAACCACTGAATTATATGCTTTGAAAGGATGAATTCTGCTATGTGAATTCTTTCTTAAAAAATTTTTTAAGGGAGTGAGAAAGCCTAATGATAGATATGACATAAAAATAAATTGTTCTAAGGGTCTAAGACAGACATGGAATTTGGTGTTTATGTCTAGGCAAACGAAGAAGAAAAGCATATAAGAGCATATCTAATAATTGCATCCTTAAGAGTCTAAATGTTTTTTATAAAAAGGTTTTAATTACAGTGCTTATATTGTGAGACAAATCACTTTCACCCTTTTTGGAAAGTTCATGGTGATTTGCTCATTTTTTTATAGGTACTAAAAAAACTGCCTACAACCTTCCTTAGTTCTTTTAGTCTATGAATTGCACAACAGTCTCAGCTGCAAATAAGCAATTTTATTATGTTGCAGCACTTAAACTCACTTGAGCTTTAGAAGAATTTTTTATTTGGAATAAAAGCATATAGTTTACAGACCATGCCAAGAAATCATATCCTAACCATCTATACTAGCTCCAGTGAAACTCAAAGACTTCCCTGGACTTTCTTTTCCTCATTCTCTGAATTTTAATCTGTGTGTTTTTAGTCTTTGAGTTAACTGAGAAGCCTTTTCGTTTTGTGAACTAAGCACATTCCTTCAAAACCACAGGCATCCACTTCTCATTGGATTTATGACAATCACAACATTGGCATGCAGGTAAAAAAAAGAGCCCAATTTGCTTTTCCCATCACACCTCTGGTTACCTCAGGGAACCCCACTTCAATGGATAAGGATCACTTCTGCCATCCTAACCATGTCCAAGTATTCCAGTTTCTGTAATGATCCACCCCTTCCTCTGCACATTTCTACAGCTCTAGCTACTGAATACTAGTTTTATCTTCCAGAAGAAGGTGGAATTTCAAGAAAAAGTAGTTCCAATAGACAGCCCAGAGAAACTTCCGTCCTTCAAACTGGTCCCCTTAGTTGATTCCTTTCTACAGCCTAGTGAATTTGTGGATTAAACTATTTTCAAGGACAGAATGGCTTGAGAGCATTCTAGGAGATTAGGACTTTATTCTTTTTCAACACACAACATGGGTTCCTCTAAGCTTTTAATAAATATTTTACAAAACTGAATCAGTATCATTGTAAAAGAGCTAGAAAAGGCTTTGTTTTTTCTATCACTATAATGCCTTACATAAATGGGTGGCTTATAACTCAACGTGAGAGAGTTAAGGGTAAGAAACATTAAGAATAAGGATAATAAAAATTAAGAATAAAAGAGGTAAAAGAGCTGATACAGTTTGTGAGACAGGGCAAAAAATCCTGTTTTCTGTGTTGCTTCTCTTTTTAACTGTTTTTTGGGCACTGTTCTGCATGAGAAGATAAAACTGAAAGAGGAAAATGAAAACTTATCTTCACAATGAAAAAGCCTCAATTTAGGTTTAAGCACAATAGAAGAGCATGGTCCTCTTACTCTGATGGTACATACTTAGCAATATTTCTAATGACAACAAGTAAGAATTACACCATAGATAAAAATTCACCTTATGAAAAGTTGCTTGGGCTGAAAAATGGCAACAAGCTGAGTAGAAGCTAAGTTTCAAAGTACATTAATGCAGATATTTGTATTCCTGACGTGCCTTTTTACTTTAAGGGAATAAAATCACTTTCTCTGTACTTCCCCATTATGGCAATCCAAACGTTTAAATAAAAATTTAGATAGCTATAGATGGAAAGGCACATTGCCCAGCGTCAGGAAACCTGGTCATATGCAGGGTGGAACGTGATTACATCTGCAGGAAGTACGTCACATACAAGCTATACAGAAATCAAATGTGCCATGAAACAAACAGGAGGCAGAGGAGTCCATATGGGTATGAAATGTTTAAACGAGAAAAGGAAGAGGCTCATTTAATGACCTGCACCACAAGGTGAACCCTTAGGTTCAAAAAGAAGTTAGGAGACTGCTCCCAACTCACCATGGCCCAAGAAGGTGAAGGCAGAACATCAGAAGGAATAGGGACTACATAGGCGGTCAGGGGAGTTTGATACAGATAGTAAAAGACTAATACGTGCTTTCTTGACTTGACTGGGATAAGAAGAGTGGATACAGAGGTAGAAGAAAGGTGGCCCTGAGGAGACACAGGGCTATTACTTCAATCTTGGCTGGGGTTAGCCCTGCTTATCTGCCACCAAATGTGGACCAAAAGCCTCACAGAGCTATTTTTATCATAGAACCTTTGCAAGTCTGTCCTTTTTAAACCCGAAGATAAATGCTACTATCCCATATAATATATAAAGTTTCCTTTTGTTTGTAAGGTGAATATGAAAGCTTTATTAATCAAGTTATCATGATAATTAAAAATTACTTGATTTTCAGTATGCTAATATTTAATAGTATAGTTATTTTGTAACTGCACAACATTTACCTATAGAAAAGGGTGACTCAGATGCCTGCAGGAGAACAATGGATGGTAATTTCAATTGTGCTTTTTTTTTCACTGGCCTGTTCCCTACTAGGCTCTCTTTAGAAAGGAGAAACATGTCACTCTGACCTGAAAACCTCTAATTCTTAGGAAGCCAAGCATGGAGACAGCCTGGAGGAGAGCCTGGAGTCTGATGGCCCTAAAGGCTTTCCTGGATTGCTTCATGGGGATGAAACTCTCAGAGTAAGACCATAGTTATATATTTAAGACTGAAGCCCCATTTCCATTTTTTTCAAACGATTTTTCTCCCTAAGTCGGCTACACCTTAAGTTTCTTGTCTCCCATGTTTCCTGTGCTCTATCAGGCTGACCTGATACATCAGCATTTTAGTTTTTCAGGCTGATAGCTTAGAGTTACCTACTAAGAAACAAAACAACACAATATTTGAGTTTGTAAGGAAGAAGGGCTACTTGCTTAGAATGTAGTAAACATGGCCTCTCTTTGCCCTCTTTATACTTTATTCAAACAAAATGATAAAAAATGACTGTAATTTATATACAGATAATTAAGAACTGATTGTATTACTCCAGCATCCACTGTTTATAAATGTAAATGACAGCATGTCTCTTAGATGATTTGGGTACTCGTGAAAAAAAAGTACTCCTTGATAAAATACAATACACGATCATATAAGTTTTAGTGCTATTTCAGCTGATAAGCCATGACAACTCAAACTTGCAACACAGTAAGTACCTGTTATCTTCATATACAAAGAAAAATGCATGAACTGCCTAAACAATACAGTATTTTTAAAAAATTCATGTTTACTTCCAACTATTCAGTGATTATTAACATTATAGGGTACTTTTAAAGGTCAAAAACATTGAACTGTCTATAAATATTCTGAATACTAATAATACTACATTGTGAATTTTATTTTCAAACTTTGGTCAATAAGAAGAAAAATAATAATGTTAAGCAGCCAAAATAAGCACTAAAAAAAGGGCAGTCATTCATACATACAGAAGATATGAACAGTATAGATTCACTTGTAGTTGATTCAATCCTATTTACACATTTAAAATACAAAATACATCTTAATTTGTCAAGATGCCAACCACATTTAGCACCAGGAAAGCAACTTTACTTTAGCTTTTGAGCAAGACCGCAATACCTTATCATGGAAAAGAAATTTCACGGAATCCAAATGTATTTATCACCATCAATTGACAAAAAAATAATTTTGAAAGAAACTGCCACATATCATCAATTTACAAGTGGCCTGAAAGGAATAAAACCTTAAAACCGGGACTACTTGATGTTGCGCACGACTCTCCTGCAGTGGCTCGTTTTCATCTCCTCCAGGGCTTGTTCCAGTTGCTGAACCAAATGGAGCAGGGTGGCCGGGTCTGTCTGCAGGACTTCGGTGGTGGGCCCTCCATTCTGATTAAGGTGTAATTTTATAGTCACTGATGGTTTTATCTGTTGCCTGAGGCTTCTGCTTGCAAGCTTGATTTTAAATGGAAGAACATGATAACTATTTAATAGTCATGCTGAAAAAGTATGTAATATTTATAATTACTTCATACCATATAAAAAAATCAAATTCAGATGAATCACAGACTTCAAAATGGGAAGTAAACTTTAACGCCTTTGGAAAGAAAAAAGAAATGAGAGTATATATACAATCTTACAACAGGGAAGTATTTCTTAAATATGATATAAAAGGTACAAACAATAAAGGAAAAACTGGTAAACTGAACTACATTAAAAAGACTACATTTTCTTCAAAGAACACCTAAATATGGTAGAAAACGAAGCCACAAACTGAGAGAAGATATTTTGTAACACATATAACCAAAAAAAAGGTTAGTATCCAGAATGCCTGAAGAACTGCTCTGACTTAATAAGAAAAAAACCCCACAAAACACAAGACCAAGAGAAGGATGTGTAAGAAATTAGAGGAAGGCACTGGTGCTTCCAGGGTACTGGTATACCTAAGGGAGCATTTCACAAAAGCAGCACAAATAGATAATCATAGGAAGACAGGTTCAACTTTATTAGAAATCAGGAAAATGGCCAATGAAACCTCAAGAGTGTTTTAAACATATCAGACTGGTGAGAAATAAAACCTGTTCATATGGTGCCCCGCAAGTGACAGTAATGAGAACTAATCCACTGCTGGTGAGAGTGATGAAAGAATCATTTGAAAAAATAGTATACATTAACAGCAATTCCAGTAGTAGGTATATACCTTAACTTCTTACACAAACATAATAGTATTAGTTTCTAAGTGTCAAAAATTAGGAACATCTCAAATATACTGTAACAATGAATGGATAAATTGAGAGTAGTCATACAATGAAATGCTTTCTAAATGGCAACAAAAAAAAAGTAACATATTGTCACGGATGAATCTAAAAAGAAAATGGTCAATCAAAAAAGGAAGTTGCATAAAAAAATACACAAAAATCTAAAAAATGTAGTTTAGTGAAAAATTATGTGTTAAAAAAAACTCTAAAGAAAAGATTAACAGAAAAATCAGAATAATGGTTACCTCCAGGGGACTAAGAAGGGCTTGAAATTAGAGAAAGGCACTGGTGCTTCCAGGGTACTGGCTTTGTTCTATTTCTTAACCTTGGCAATGGGTTCTTGTTTTATTATTATTCTTTAAACCAAATAAATATAATCCTGTTTGTAGGATATATTCCAAAATTCTAAAAGTAGGTACTATTGACATATTGAAAAACAAAAAACAAAAAACCACTAGAAACCATGATCAACTTGGAAGTGATGGTATTTAACCCCAGCACCAGACTGTGCTCTCTCAAGACCATTCTCCCTTAAAAAGAACCAGGACCTCCTTTAAGTAATAGCTAATTAAAGGTCTGGGACAGGAATTGTACAAGATGAGCCTGAAACACCTTGCCAGACAAGAAAGGAAGACTGCTATCTAAAACTATAGGAGTCAAGTCAAAAGGATAAGAGACTGAACTGAAGAGACTTCCAAGCGAATAATAAATCCAAACCTGAGATTTCAGGATTAACTTAATACTACAACATAGAATATTCTGACTAGTAACTTCTTCTAATTAATTCTGGGTGATTTGGGCTTCCAAAAGAAGAGAACAAGACACTGATCCAAAGCTGAAATTTAGTATCTCAAAATAATTCAGAAACAAGAGGTCAATCCCTTTGGGTGAGCTAGTCCTTAGACATAAAATATGTACTTGTAAGGTAAAATACCATTTCTAGTACAGAAAATTATAGATATGACAGTTGGAAACTATGACTGAAAACACTTATTCATTCAAATAGGCATTAATTATACTTCTTTTCCTTCTTTTACACTGACAGAGGCCAAATATATCTAGGTGTGTAATTAAGCCATTAATTTTTTTTGTTGAAAGACTTGAGATTTTAGACAACATAATATCTAAATTAATAACTCTTACAGATAAGCACCTATGCCATTCTTTAAAATTTCCAGATAAAGATGACATAACATTCCTAAGAACACTTACTAAGACATAATTAGGCCTAATTTTTTCTCAAAAAGAAATCTTAATGACAGTATTACAGGACAAAGAACAGTAGGTCACTAAGTTCTTGACATACATTTACTTTTTAATGGGGATGAAATACTGTCCCTCACTGTAAAAATAATAATAGCAGAGCTCACACACCTCAACAAACAAAAAGCAAATAAGCCAATTAAAAAATGGGCAGAGGAGCTGAACAGACACTTCTCCAAAGAAGAAATTCAGATGGTCAACTGGCACATGAAAAGATGCTCCACATCGCTAATTATCAGAGAAATGCAAATTAAAACCACAATGCTGGTGGAAATGTAAACTAGTTCAACCATTGTGGAAAGCAGTATGGAGGTTCTTCAAAAAACTAAAAATAGAAATACCATTTGACCCAGGAATTCCACTTCTAGGAATTTAACCTAAGAATGCAGCAGCTCAGTTTGCAAAAGACATATACACCCCTATGTTTATTGCAGCACTATTTATAATAGCCAAGAAATGGAAGCAACCAAAGTGTACATCAGTAGATAAACAGATAAAGAAGATGTGGTATATATACACAATGGAATATTATTCAGCCATAAGAAGAAAACAAATCCTACCATTTGCAACAACATTGATGGAGCTAGAGGATATTACGCTCAGTGAAATAGGCCAGGCAGAGATAGACAAATACCAAATGATTTCACTCATCTGTGGAGTATAAGAACAGAGGAAAAACTGAAGGAACAAAACAACAGCAGACTCACAGAACCCAAGAATGGGCTAACAGTTATCAAGGGGTAAGGGACTGGGGAGGGTGGGTGGGAAGGGAGGGATAAGGGCGAAAATGGGGCATTATGATTAGCACACATAATGTAGCAGGGGGGAATGGGAAAGGCAGTATAACACAGAGAAGACAAGTAATGATTCTATAGTATCTTACTATGCTGATGGACAGTGACTGTAATGGGGTATGTGGGGGGGACTTGATAATGGGGGGAGTCTAGTAACCATAACATTGTTCAAGTAATTGTACATTAATGATATCAAAAGATAAAAATTAAAAAAATAATAATAGCAACTTTAAATGGGTCAGCCCTAAGGGTAAATCCTCCTGCATCAACCTAAGATGCATTCAATTTATTGATGCTATTAACAAGGGCATTAACTGTGCTGGCAACTTAGGAAGTAGGGGAAATGCTTCTACTAGAAACTAAACTATGATGATTAATTTATTTCTCATAAGCAACTGCACAATAATTAGATGGTAACTGTCCATTCACTACTAGGGTGCATGATACAAATCAGTTACTCAAAAGTGAAAGGTCCTGTGTCCTGTTACTAGTTTCTTAGCCATTTAGCTAGTCTTGATTTGAGAAATCTTCCTCCCATAAGTGGAAGAATCCATGTCAGTTAGAATCCCTTGTAATAATTTCAGCTGATGAGCTCATGGAATCAATTAGTTCTCTGAGTAGTTTTTTCAGGCCTTAAATAACATTTCACTACATGAAGCAATATTTTTTCAGTATACCCTCAACTTTAAAACTACCAGTCCGCAGTAACAAGCTACTCAAACCCATTTTACAGGGTAAATTAGCACTTGGGTTTAATTTTAGAAAACTCAATTGCATAAGTTTCTAACTTCATACTGGAAAAATGAAAAGTAAATCAATAAAGCCAATAAAACAACTTACGTTGAACCCCCAAACATCAGTACTTATCCCACACAAGAGAGAGCTAAAAACATACAAGATAAATTACTGTTGAACCTTATGAACACGGCCATCTCCACATCTCCTCCAGCTGGTTATTATGAGAAGATCTAAACATAAAGGCTTAACTACAGTGATCTTATCCCCCCATGAGCCCTAAAGGACTTGCTGCTTATGATGTCTCCAAGAGCGTGAACTGCTTCTTGGTCTTTGCCAAACCTACCCCACCTGGCCCTGGATAGCTGTACAAGAAATATTTTATAATTTGTTTAAGAAGCTGCTTCCTCACACACACATCTTTTTTAATATTCAGCACTGATTACCTATTATGTGCCAGGCATTGTGCTGAGGACACAGTAGTGAATAAGACATAGTACCTGCCCCTGTAGAGCCTATTATGTGGTTTATACCATATCCTGTGTTAATACCTACTCAAGCACTCATCACACTGGTTATAACTCAACTCCTCTAACCGAATTTCTAAAACCTATTTGGACCACCTTATCACTCTTCAAATAGAAAATAATTCACTATAGTGGTTTACAAACTTTACTGCACATTAGAATTACTTGGGGTGAAAGGGGAGCTTTTAAAAATTCTGATGCCCAGGCCAAACCCCATACCAATAAAACAGAACAGACATCAGAATTTTTTAAAGCTTCCAGGTCATTCCAATCTATGGTCAAGGTTGGGAACAAGTTCACTACACAACATATTCATAGGCTCATGCCCACATCCACGTGGGCCTTTTACAACTTACACTGTCTCCTCTGACAAGAATATTTACCCTGGTTTTCTCTATTCATTCACCCTTCTGAAATTTCACCTTTTGTTGAAGATATTTTTGATCTTGTCACCATACACTGAACTACTTAAGCTACAGTTTCTTTGAAATACAGTTCACAATTGTACCTTCATTTATACAATGGTATTCTTTTTTCCCTTCCAGAACTATATTTATAATCATCCGAACATCTAGTATCCCTACAGGTAACATCTTTTCCAGCTGAGAAAGTGTCTTACACTTCTGTTGTGTCCCAAAGGACTAAGCATAGTTCTAATCAGCAATGGCTGACATTCAATAAATGTGAATTTATCAATATCAGTTATCTGTCAATGTTCAATTAAGAGCTATACTACATGCAGTAGTCTGAAAACTCCTTTGGTTGTCTATGTGGCTTTAAAAACAACTAGCTCTCACAAACATAATATATGTAAAAAGCCACCAGACACAAAAATTTACTAAACCATTCCATACACAGTAAGATAAAGAACAGGCAAAAGTAATCTATGCATTAGAAGTCAGGTTATCTGGTTACCTCTGGCAAGGAGGGAACGGGAGCTAATTGAAAGGAGGCAAGGATACTTCTGGGACACTGGTCATGGGTGTTAGCTTCATGGTGTTTTCACCATGTGATAATTCATTGAGCTCTGCATGTCCTGTGCATTTTTCTATGTGTGTGTTATTTAAACAGAAAAGTTTAAAAAAAACTAAGCACCACTTTAAAAATCTGTATAATCATCTCCTTTTTGAAAACAACCTATTTCTTACAAACTCTGCAAATTGAACCAATGTAAACACATTAAAAATATAAGAAAATGAACCACTTGTGCAAATGGTCTGAAAATGAACAATAAAAAACTAAAGTTTCTAACCAGAGTTTGGTTAAGGTGTTAAAGAATACAATAAACCTGAGGACAGTACATAAAATAAATCTTATATTCAATGTCAGGTCAAAACAAAAAGCTGTACCTGTACATCTAGTCTCCATTCAAGGCTGTGGTAACTGGGAAGGTTTGGTGCTAATTCACTCAGGATGGTTCTGATCTCCTTTCTGTTGTCCAGATAAAGCTGAAGCAACAATTTGTTCAATTCTTCAGAGAAACCCAGAACAAAAACAGAGTCTTGGAAATCCAGTTCAGAAATCTAAAAAGGAATTGAGTCAAAGACATTTTCAAAATTTATCTTTGTCTAAATACTAAAATATACACAGAATATATCCCCTTTTTCTGTCTAGTAAAAGAAACAACACTCCTTATAAAGGCCAACTGTTGCTCACTATTCCAAAATCTGAGTTTCTGATACATAAAAATACTTTATTATTAATGTAAATTAAATGACATTAAAAAAAAACTTAAAACGCCCAGTTTTCTCTATTTACCATCAAGCCAGATATTGCAGAAAAATAAAATAAATAATTTAATTCTCCCTCCTCTTAGAATACATACTGTGGTATATGATTTAATACCATGCAGAATTAGAGGCAATTCTAATTTATACTAGCCAAGAGGTATTCATATCAGCAGATCATGTTATAGTAATATTGTTTCGGCAAGGCTTCACTAAATTAATTATAAGCCATTAACAACATTACTGAAGTAAGCAGGTGCCTGACAGGGCTCTGATATAGGATACAGTGGACATTATTAAGGTCTGCATAATACAAAACAGTCCACAAAAGCCCTTACCATGAGCTTTGAGCTTTCAGTGAGGAGGTATGTTAATCCTTCTACACCATGCTGGACAGTGTCACTACTCACACTGAGTTTTCCTGAGAAAGAGGGAAAAAAAATTGTGTGAGATTTACTCTTTTATTCAAACTCTTAAGAAGAAATATTATACATTATTCCATGTTTTCAAACACTGCAATGAAAAATGAGTTGGTAATAGTCTCCTGTTCACTCTCCATTCCCAGTCAAATGCCCTCCAGTATTTCCCACCATGTAACCTTCTTTACAAAATGCAGACCCGTGGAGACGAGTACTAGATACTCAGTCCCTCTCTTGAAAGCTCAGTTACTTCAGCCTTGTTAAAAGGGGAACTCGACAAAGGCCGGTACTCTTAGAAACAGTCCCCTGTCCATTATTTTTTGCTGAAAAAAACACTTTAGCAAAAGTAGATCTGAGAAAGCAATAATAACCGTCCACTTCCATGATATTTATAGCTCACCCAACTGCAACACACATTTTGGTGCATTTAAACATCCCAGTATCCCTGGCACATGGTGTTATGTCCACTTTACATATGAGGAAACCGACTTAATGGAAACTTTAAAACCTCACATCTACTTAGGGGAGGGCCAGGATTTGCACCCGGACTTAGGAGCCCTTTTGGTTGTATTCCACCACGATGAGAATAAAACCCTTGGAGCCGCAATAACCCCTTCCTCTCCGGGGAGACAGAGAATGGCCCACACTTCCCCGTGCAGCTCGTGGGCCTGCGCCTCTCCCCTTCTTACTGGCTGCTCCTTCGTAGATCTTGGGGTTAGAGCCTCGCCTCAGAAACTCCACTGCGATCCGCCCAAACTCGGCGACCACTGCAACGGAAGCCAGAAGACCGTGAGCGCCGGGCGCTCCCCCTGGTTCCCTCCCGACACGCACCACCACCCTCCGCTGCCGGGCCGCCTGACCTGTGCAGTCTACTTGCGGCAGGAAGGCCAGATGCTCCCTATGCTCCTCGGACAGGTCCAGCAGCATTTTCACCAGGCAGCCGGCCTCACAGGGCAGCGCGGAATCCGCCCTCTCCACTTCCGGTGCTTGCGTGCAACCGCAAAGAGGCTCCGGCGCCTCACGACCCCAAGCTTTGGGTTCCGGCCTATGGCCGTCCTACCCTCCAACCTCCTCTCGCGGCGTATGCTGGGGTCAGATGATTCTTCCATTTGCAAACATTCTCAGAAAGATGCAGCCTGCTGGGTGCATGGGTCTGTTCTCTGTGGAAGATGAAGAAGATGTTTAATCTGACAAGCTCTTTATTATTAATAATAAAAATGTATTATTAATAATAATAGTTAACATTTATTAAGCACTATGTCAGGAATTGTTTTCACATTTATTAATTCATTTAGAGTTCATAAGAATCCTATGAGGTAGGTAGCATTATTCTTTTTCCCATTAGAGATTTGGAAACAGGTCAAGCAACTGATACTAACTTCTATAGAACTATTAGTTTGGGCAGAGTTTTTATAGATGTTATACTGATTTATCTCATTTAATATGCTCAATAGCTGTGACCTCCTTTTCACAGATAAAGAATCAAAGCACCAAAGATTACATAATAAACCAGTGACAGCGCTGGAAGGAGAGCGTTGATCTGTTGATCACCTGCTCCAAAGCCCATCATTCTACACAACAGGCTGAAAGCTGAAGATTTATAACAATTTCTGTGGATGATTATAGATTAGGATAAAGATGATGAAGGCAATGACAGGTGTTTGCAAGGTTCAGAACAATGTCTTCTTTTAATGTGTTGAGGATGGTGTGACAATTTGGTTTCTTTCCTTCCTTTCTCATCTGCTGTTGTTCAAATATAAGAGACTACAGAATTGCAATTTGATAGGAATATTGCTCTCCAAATCTCAGCCCCTTGGTAGGGGTGAGGGTGGTGGAAAGGAAAAGGGGAAAGAGACAGGGAGACTTCATTTCTATCCTTATATATAGTTACTGAAGCAACTCTTTCTATACTCCAAGTCTGCTGGGCAGAAATGAAAATTGGAATAGTGTTTCAGCTCTGCTGTCTGTGTTTACCTCTCCCTCACATCTGACTGAAATTGGAATTGTTTCCTCTGCTGGGGCAAAGAAAGGTAGTTTCTTTAACTTATTAGTCAGGTTTCGAAGCAGCATTTGCAGAGAGAGCCCAGTTTTTTTCTTAGACTGTAAGTTGCAGATCAGCAAAAATGGCATCATTTCTGAAAAAGCTTTTATTCATACATTATTGAGAAAGAACAAGAATAATAGATAAGACTAATTTTCAGAAAAGGTAAAATGATTCTTCTACAAATATACAACAAACACATGTCAGAGATTGTATTGAACTCATGAATTAAAGAGGAAATCAGTAAGATTACAGTTGTCACCTGTTTCTAGAACTGTACATATGTAGGGAATAAGGAATGCTGAAGTAAATTTATAAATAGATACAATATTATGCCAATCTGACATAGCCTTTCTTTCCTGAGATCTCAGGGACTGAAGTGGGGGCAAGGGAGGTGAAGGGAGGGAATAATAGGGAGAGCCAAATGGGGTGACCAAAGAAAGTGGCTGAAAGCCCAGTATATAACTGGGGGAGAGCAGCCTGGGAGTTAAAACACCCTAGTATAATTATAGAACAACTTTTTGTTACCAAATGTCCTGTAGCAGTTTAGAGGAAGTTAACTGAGTAGAAAATCAAAAGTTTTTATTCCAGATCTGGCTCTGACACTTACTAATTGTAAGGCCTCCAACCAGTTGTTTTATATTACAACTCCAACTAGTTGTAAATTTAGTCTCTTCATTTGTAAAATGATGACTTCCCTTCTGTGCCATACAGGGTTGTTCTTATGCTCAGATGAACTAATAAATTCATATTAATAAATTGATTTCAGTGATAAAATCTAACAATAGATGAGCATGAAGCAACTGAAGAGTTTGTAAACTGAAGCATTTGTATTTTATCAGAGCAGATTTATGTGTACATTGAGAATACCATGTGCATGATCACCCTGGAACCCATTCATTTAATTCAACAAATATTTAGAGCACAATTTTTCAAAGGTTCAAGCACATGCTATGCTGTGGCAATTTGGAGATGAATAAAACAATGTCCTTGCCCTCTAGCAGGTGACAATAAATTTAAAATCAAGAAATTTCAATGCAGTGTGAGGAGTGCTAGTACTTGATGATTGAACAAAATGTTATGGAAGCTTCATACCAGTTAGGATGGCCAATATCCAAAAGACAAACAACAACAAATGTGGGCAAGGATGTGGAGAAAGGGGATCCCTCCTACACTGCTGGTGGGAATGTAAATTAGTTCAACCATTGTGGAAAGCAGTTTGGAAGTTCCTCAAAAAGCCAAAAATAGAAATACCATTTGACCCAGGAATTTCACGCCTAGAAATTTACCCTAAGAATGCAACAGCCCAGTTTGAAAAAGACATATGCACTCCTATGTTTATTGCAGCACTATTTACAATAGCCAAGAAATGGAATCAAGCTAAGTGTCCATCAGTAGATGAATGGATAAAGAAGATGTGGTACATACACACAATGGAATATTATTCAGCCATAAGAAGAAAACAAATCCTACCATTTGCAACAACATTGATGGAGCTAGAGGATATTATGCTTAGTGAAATAGGCCAAGCAGAGAAAGACAAATACCAAATGATTTCACTCATCTGTGGAGTAGAAGAACAGAGGAAAAACTGAAGGAACAAAACAGCAGCAGACTCACAGAACCCAAGAATGGACCAACAGTTACCAAAGGGAAAGGGACTGGGGATGGTGGGTATAAAGGAAGGAAGGAATAAGGGGGGGAAAGGGGCATTACGATTAACACACATAATGTCGTGGGGAGGAGACGGGGAAGGCAGTATAACAGAGACAAGTAGTGCTTCTATAGCATCTCAATATGCTGATAGACAGTGACTGTGATGGGGTATGTGGTTGGAACTTGATAATGGGGAGAGTCTAGTAACCATAATGTTGCTCATGTAATGGTATATTAATGATACAAAAAAAATGCTATGGGAGCATAAAGTAGCAATTAACTCTGATTTCAGTAAGATTCAGACTTAGAATAAATGTCACGGTATCCTCTGCTTGCTAATAAAAATGCTTTACTATTGTATGTATACACAATTATATAACATTATAAGTACATAAGATCTTAATACCACTTCATGCTATCTTACTCCTGGGTCTAAAGTGAGGAAAGAGTACTCAGCATTTTTTCAGTTGATTCTGGCAGGAAACAAGGTTTCATATCAATTTTCCTCTCACATTCTTTCATCATTTTTCTTTCTGCCTCCAACTCATTTAGCATCCTCTTTGCCCATATTCCTTTCTTCTTTTTAGGCATTTCAGCCCCCAAATTTTTGCATCAGGCATTTGCTTAGCTGTTTCAGTGATACAAAAAATATTATTATCTCTTGCAAGGAATTGCAGCTCAATTCAGCATACTGTCAGAGGCAACAGCATGGTGGCACCCATCATCACATGAACTGCCCTCTCATGAGTATGCAATTGGCAATGAATGTATGAATTAGTTCCTTAGATTTTTTTCATGATTTTAATTCACTTTTTCAATCGGATTATAAAATGCATACAGAAAAGGGAACAGGTAAAAAATATTCTTTTTTTAATTTTCTGAAATTGAGCAACACTTATTAACCCAGATCAAGAAACAGACTGTTACCAGCACCCCCAGAACCTCTACTGTACCCTCTTCCAGTCTCTATCTCTCTTACTGTCTCTACAGTCAATTAGTACCTGTATATATGCTGCCTTAAAACAACTCTTTAACATCAACTTTGTATTTTTCCCTTTGTATTAGCCTCCTATGTGACCTAATCTCATAACATCTCACTAGAAACTTACAGGTATTTTTAAAAATGAGCTTTAGGTTTTAGGTGCCTCTGACAGTTGTAATAGAATCTATCTTTAAAATCTTCCTATCAGATAGCACCAAAAAACATAAAATATTTAAGAGAAAAACATTAACAAGAGATTGGTAAAACCTTTACACTAAAAACTAAAAAACACTGATGAGAGAATTTAAGGAAGACTTAAATAAATAAGGACATATACCATGAATAGAGAACTATATCAGGAGTTTTAAGATTCAGTATTATTAAGGTATCAGTTCTGTGCCATCAAAATCCCAGAAGGCTTTTTTATAGAGAATGAAAAGTTCACTTAAAAATCTATGTGGAAATGCAAAAGACTGAGAATAGCCAGAGCAAACTTGGAAAAAGAACAGATCTAGAGAATTCATACTACTGGATTTCAAGATCCACTATTAAGCTACAGTAATTAAGAGAGTGTGGTATTAGTCTAAGTAAAAAGGTCAATGGAACAAACTAGAGACTCTGGAAGATAGATCTATACACATATTATAAATTAACTTCTGACAAAGGTGTCAAAGATTCAATGAGGGAAAGTCTTTTCAACTGTTGGTGCTATACCAATTTGATAAATTTTGAGAAGAAGATGAATCTTAATATTCACCTCACATCACACACAAATATATTTCAGATAGACTATAAATGTAACATAAAAGCTAAAACTATGAAACTTGTAGAAGAAAACATCTGAGAATATCTTCACAGCTTTGAGGTAGGCAGAAAGTTCTGAGGGAGGAAAAAGAAAGAAAAAAAGATAAATTATACTTCATTAAAGTTAAAAATGTTCCGTCTTCAAAAGACACCATTAATAAAATGATAAAGTGAGCCACAGACTGGGAAAAATATTTGCAATACATATATTTAACAGAGAATTTGTATCATGAGTATATAAAAAAATTCCCATAAACCAATAATTAAAAGATAAACAACCCAACATTTTAAATGAGAAAGAACTTCACACTTCACAAAAGGAGTCATACAAATGGCTAATAAGCCCATGAATAAGCATTCCCTATCATTAGTCATCAGGAAATTGCAAATTAAACCACACTGAAATGTCATGTTAAACGCACTAGAATAACCAAAAATCAAAACTCCTTATGACACCAAATTCTGGGGAGTATGTGAAGCAACCAGAACACTTATTCATTGTTAGTGAGAGCATAAAATCATAAAAGCACCTTGGAGTATTGTTAGGCAGTTTCTTATGTTAAGTGTACATTTACCCTATTACTAATTATTCCTCTTCTATGTTTTTGCCAAAAAGAATTGAAAGCATAGCATATGTTCATAACAGCTTTATTCACAATACCACAAAACTGGAGGCAACCAAAATGTACATACAATTGAAGAGATAGATTATGGTATGTCCACATGTGGAATACTATACAGTAATAAATAAGATCTAAGGAAGACCTGTATGAAGGAAGTACAGATATTAGAGTTATAAGATTTGGACCCATAACAATGCATAATATATCCAAAACATTAAATGACTGATGAAGAATTTAATCAAGAGAAGTAGAAACTGCAAAAAAGAAAAAGGAAATTAATAAATTAGAAAGCAAATATCCAATGGAAAGAGTTAATTAAAGTAATAGCTCATTGTAAAAAACTAGTAAAATTGATAAAACCAGTATAGGGCTGACTATTCATGACAAATATAAAAGGAGGGAGAACAAAAAAAAGTTACCAATATTGGGTATGAAAAAGGGAATATTACTACATAGAGAGAAAAAAAGAATGTACTACTGATACATGCAGCAATGTAAATAATCTCAAAGCATTAAGTTGAGCAAAATAACCCAGACACAAAAGTGAACAACGATATGATTCCTTAGGGAAATTTTATGCATGGAGTTAAAAATCAGAATAGTCACCTGTAGGGGATTGGGATAGACTTAGATATAAGAGCTTGAAGGAACTTTCTAGGGAAGTATTTACATCTTGATTGGGATAATGGTTACACAAATGTTTATATTTGTCAAAGCCATTGAATCTTACACTTAAGATCTATGCAGTTCACTATAAGTAAACTTTATTTCAATTTTAAAAAATGTAATAGAAAGCAATGTTTTAGCAGAAGTTCAAAAGATATCTAAGACCAGTACTAGACTAGCTGGTATTCATAACTCTCCTCGGTACTTCCTTTATATAGAACTTAAAAAATTTTATTTTTACTATGAACTAAATTAACATGGTTTAAAAACAAAAAGCATTAAACCCAGGAAAGGAAAAAAAGAGAAACAGTAAAAATTCTCTCCTGTACTCCTAATTACCCTAGCTGGTAGGTGAATACAATTCTCAGTTTCTTATGAATTCTTCTTCAGCTCTTTATGCAGAAGCAAATGTCCTAAATTTTCACTTAGGGTGATGGAATTCAAAAGACCAGGTGTTAAACATGGAATATCCTGTTGATAGGGATGCAGCATTAGAACTGTTGCTAGAAATTATAGCATTAGTTATTAGAAATGTTAACATTAGAACTGGGAGTTACAGTTTGACCAGGTCTTTGCCCACACTGGGGTTGTTTTGACTTCAAAGCATAATTTCTGGGGAATTTTCACATGCTGTCAGGCCGCCTTGGGTAGTCAGGTTAGAGATGCTCTTTCTGGCTAGAACTCTTGCTATTTCTAACTGCTGAAGCCATCGTTTCTCTTTAAAGGAACTGCAAGAGAACAAGATATAATTTATAAGGAGGTCCAATCTTTTTTTTTTAAATTTTTTATTCAGGTATGATTGATATACACTCTTATGAAGGTTTCACATGAAAAAACAATGTGGTTACTACATTTACCCAGATTATCAAGTCCCCACCCATACCCCAATGCAGTCACTGTCCATCAGTGCAGCAAGTTGCCAGAGATCCACTATGTCCCTTTTCTGTGCTACACTCTTCTCCCCGTGATCCCCCACACCATGTGTACTAAACATAATACCCCTCAGTCCCCTTCTCTCTCCCTCTCCACCCACCCTCCCACACCCCTCCCCTTTGGTAACCACTAGTTCATTCTTGGAGTCATAAGGAGGTCCAATCTTGCTCCATTTACAGCTGAAATGATAGAAATCTTTAAAATTTTTAAATCTATAAAAAAAGAAATCTTTAGGTTGATTTGTAGCTGTGGCTAGTTTATCTCATTACATGACAAACACTATTCTATGTGCTGAAGATATAAAAAGTGAACAAAATACACAAGGTCCCTGCCCTTACGGAACTTACATTCTAGGAAAAGACAAAAACACAAATAGAGGGCTAATAAAATATCAGACTGGTAGGACTATGAATAAAAACAGCAGGGCTAGAGAGAGGCGGTCAGGCTGGGCACCCGGTCAGGTCAGTTTCTTCTCTAACAGCCCCTGCCTCTTTGCCAGGCCCAGGCCCCGCTGTGAATATGTGGAAGTGGGTGAAGGTAGACATTTTTTCCTCAAGTCATCATTTCTGAGTCTCTGGCATTGACCCAGGAGAGGCAGACATAGTTCCTGTTGCTTTGGAAGGCAAGGGCTACAAGCACCCTGGCCAACAGGGCTGTTGTGCTGCAGCAGCATGTTCCCTCCAACAGTTAGGTACTTGCTTGGGTTCTCTGAACACTATGCCCCACTTTAAATACATCTGCAAGCTCCTGAGAAGCCTGGGAGTTCCGGTAGCAGCCCGTGTCTCTCTGGAGGTGGGAGCAGAGCTCTACAGACTGTGTGTGGTGCCACAGAGGTGGCTGAGGGTATCCAGGAGCCCTGAACCTCACCCTGCTTTGATTAGCTCAAAAGACTGAACTTTTTTTCTCCTTTATATAAATTTCCCTCCAGTTTTATTGAGATATAAGAAGACATTCTTAAATCATTCATGATCCATCAAATTGTCTCCAGCCTGAGGGACTACACAGCAAAGCTCCTAGGCCTCCCTTCTGTCTTAACTTGGGGTAATGAAGGGATATAGGGTTCAAGGTGACTAAAAAGGACAACCAATTACATTTTCTACCAAGTAATGCTTGACTATGGCAAGGTTAGATACAAAACGAAGGCCCTTACAGAAAACTATTTCATTTCCTGTTTATAAATTTTCATGAAACAATCAAGTTGTACATACTTGTAATAGTGATAAGTTCTGTTTTTTAAGTGGTATATTTTCCAGTTAATATTATGTAGATATCTGTACTCTGTGAGTACCCTGCATTTACCCTCTCCCTTATTCCTTATCATATGCAATCCACCACCAACTCCTCTCAATTTCTTTCCTACATTTGCCTCCAACCCATGGACTCATCTCCATTATGCGTCACTCCTGTAGTGCATCTACGACTTGGACCCCTGTGGTTCTCCCTATCTGACTTCCAGAACTCATTCTAGTTCTCCTACATTGTAGCCAAAGTGGTGTTGAAAACATCCAAAGCTGATCAAGACAAACCCTTCAATCCTCTCATGTTTAGATTAAAACTGCCGGATCCTTCATATGGACCCCTGCCTACCTCTCCAGGTCTACCTCATACCTTTCTTCTTTCTCTTTGTTGTAACGCAGCTTTCTGTTTCACAAATGTCCCATGAACTGTAGCCAGGCCTTTGCACAAGCCATTTCCTCTATCTGGAGTACTCTTTCTTCACTCTTCCTTCACCTGGCTAATTTCTACTCATCCTTTCAATCTCAACTCAGACATTTTCTCAGAGAGGTCAAGGTCCATGTCAGAGACTTCCCTAGAACCACTCCCTCCAAGTTCCTCTCCTTCACAGCACTTTTCTCAGGAAGCCTCTGAAAATGCCCATAACACCCCACTGAACAGTTTGCTTCCCAAGGGCAGGGCTGTACCTGTGTTTGCTCTCTATGTTATGGGCTGATCAGCCATCTTGGTTGCTTAGAACTCAGAGATTTCCCAGTAAAACAAGACTTGCAGTGCTAAAACTTGGAAAAAACTAGTTTACCCACCCAACCACTATATCTAGTTACCCAACCACTGATCCAACCACTATATCACCAGCTTTATAAATGTTTGTTGAATGAATAACCATTAATAACCATTAATTGGGCCGTCATCCCAACCACCTGACTAAATCCTAGCATTTCTTTTCAGCATGAAAATTCTCAGCTCAGGGAGGGAAGGATGGTCTAACTATAAACACTTCTCCCTGGCTTCTGTGCAATCATTAAACAACTATTCATTGAGCCCTTACTATATGCCAGTACTGTGCCAGATACAAACTTGGATAAAAGAAATAAGGTTCTTGCCCACCTGGATGGGTCACAGAATTCAAGATTCCTCAACTGGAGGGCAAGTCTGGAGCCTGCACTGTTTGACAAGCTAGCCTGGGAGGCTGTACTCTCAGGTTTCAGTCAGCACTCTGGCCTGTGTATGAGGCTGAAGGCCCAGCTCATGCTTCCCTTTGCTGATCCTGTGGGGGCTTTCTCATCTAAAGCTGAGCTGAGAAGAGGATTCAATGCAACAGGTCTCCTGAACCCAGTGCTAACGAATGCACAAGAACAGGGACCTGCTCACTGTCTAGTTCCCTAGGGCCCACATGCTCACCTGGGCAAAATGGCAGGGTTTGCCAGTAACAGATCAGCAGAGTTTTAGCCTCTGCTCCCACCGTGCCCTGGCATCTAATGAAGGAGGAGGTTAGGGGAGGGACAGGGAGAGGGTAGTTTCTATCCTTGAAGAATCAAAGAGAGAAAATATCTGCTCCACCCCCATTTTAAGGCAGGCCTTGTCCCACTAGAGCCACCAGCTGAATTGCACCAAACTTGTCTTGGTTAAGGTAGGGTCGGTCACTTCTCATGGGAGGCTGACTCGTTACCTGGAACCACACAGACTGGCCCCAGAGACTTTGTGAGGTCCTCTCCGTCACTCCCCCATTACAATTTCCTCTGGTTTGGCCCCTCCTAGCTGGACATTTGTAATTAACTCAAAAGTAGCCTCTCATACTCTCTCTATAAATGGATATAATTTGGTATGACCTTTTAGAAAGGTAACTCAGCCATATGCATATGTTCTTTGAACAAACCATTTCACCTCAATGTAAGTACCTCTAGAAATACTTCTTCAAATGAATAAGCATTATATCTGAAAAGCCATATGTATATGTTCTTTGAACAAACTATTTCACTTCAATGTAAGTACCTATAGAAATACTTCCTCAAATGAATAAGCATTATATCTGAAAAGATCTATCACACCACTGCTATCATGGTGAAAAACTGGAAACAACTTGGATGTAAATCAAGATGGGGCTAGTTAAATAACTTATTATATGTGACACAGTGGAATTCTAGCAGCCTTTAGAAAGAGTGAAGCAGTTTGCTCTTGCAAGTGTGGAAAGATTTGACAGATATGGTTGAAAGATATATAGTTGGGGATAATAAATAGAGTAAAATCCCTTTTATGATATAAAGGACATGAACATATACATATCTCGCATCCATATATTGAGATACAGAAAAGTTCTAGGAGGCTACAAACCAAATAGGAGTAATGATACCTTCTGGGATGTGTGAGAGGGGAGAGGAGTGGTAGGATGGATGGAGACGTAGATATTGATTTTACTTAATATATTCCTATGTTGTTTGGGTGTTTCCCAGAAAGCACATATCGCTGTATTTTGTGATTAAAATTTTTTTCAAGGGAAAAATAGTCCATCGTTCAGCTTTCCCTTCTGTACCAACACTGCCTATAGGCTACACAGACTTCTGCTCCACCTCCCCATTTGTTTTCTCCCCACCTCAAACTCTCCTGTGCTCCTAGTTCCCCAACAGCTAGGCCACTTATCCAGAGGCCTTTGGGGAGGAATTATCCCTACTTTAAGAGTGAAGATTAGGGACATGATAGGCCAAGCAGGTTTATCCCTGTATTCGATTTCCTAGCCTGAGGCAAACACCCTCATCAGCTAGTCTAAACTTGCGGCAAAGTGCCCTACCCCATCCCTGTTACTTTTTATAAAAACAGCAAGGAGAGAGCTCTCTCCTGTAATCAGGAGCATGCGAGCTGAGCACATAGGAGTCACCCTGGGGGAGTTCTATCTGTTCTCAGTCCAGTCAGCAATTCTGGACCAATCCTCCACATTTGAATCTTCACTAAACTGGCCTGCTAAGTCACATAAACCTCACTGGAATTGGACAGTAAGTGATAAAGAAGAGTGCTTTCTAGGCACACCTTGGAGATAGTCTCTGATCTGTATAAAGTTCCTTTAACTATAATTAATAATTTCTTATATCTGGGAGGGGTTACTGACTGAGGGAACTTTGTAGGGTACTGGAAACATTTTGCATCTGATGTGAGTGGTTATACAGATATCTACAAATGTAAAAACCCAATGAGCCATACATCTGAGATAAATGTTCCTTATGTAATTTACTATATATTTCATACTTCAATTTCTTCCCCCGAAAGCACTACACACAATAGACACTGGCAGTCTTTCTCACCCCAAACTTGTGCATATGCCCACCTTAAACACAGATTTTTTGCACATTGCTATTCTGCTTAGCACTGCACTGGGCCATAATAAGGAATGCTTGGATGGTTGAAAATTAAACTAATTTTTAACATGCATTTGTTGATAAAACTCAGCAGTTTTTCCTCTCATGTTTACAGCCTGATTTTTAAGATGGGCTGCATAATTTTTTCAATATACCATGCTCTAGTATTTTTCTAGATTTTTAGATTATCTCTTCACATGCATTCTAGTCAC